CAACCAATACAACTCAATCTCAACCGTCCATTTCATTTGATTAATATGTGATTTCATAGAAGTTTTTATTGTTTCCTAATATAAAGTATCGATCATAATTAATGAACCGTATTCATCTTCCATAAATATTCAAATCATAATAAATGAACTCTCATCATTTCCATAAATATCTCAATATATTGGGTTGCATTGGTTGTATAAATGCGATAGGTTGTATTTGAAACAAACTCTCTCTCTCTCTCTCTCTATATATATATATATATACATATATATATAGGGGCATGTTCAAATGAAAACCGTGCATTTCTAAGAAACCGTGTAAACCAATTTCGACCAATAGGAAAATTCTTTTTTTTTTCTAATTAAATTTAATCAATAAGGGTATTTCGGTCATTTATAATATTTTCTATTAAATATGGAAGTTATTAATAAATCTTAATTAAGGAAACATACTAAAGGAAATTGTATAAATGATAACATTTAAATATTTAATTATATTAAAATATTAAAAATTTGGATTTCATATATTGTCATGAGTTATAATCAGGAAACGTGTCTTGATGAAACAATTGAATTATAGAATGAAATCATCAAAACRTAGATGAAYAAAAAAAATCCACAAAATGAAACAGGTTTCATGAACGTGAAACCGGTTCATGTTGCAAAGAAATTAGGTGAACCGAAACATTTTTATGGTGAATCCATTGCATTGATGGTGTAGTTAATCATTTTTTATGAGAAGCAAAATAAACCGGTGCATTTTGAAAAGAAAAATAAAACAGGTTTCATGAACGTGAAACCGGTTCATGTTGCAAATAAATTAGGTGAACCAAAACATTTTTATGGTGAAACCGTTGCATTGATTGTGTTGTTGATCCATTTTGTTGATGAAAAGAAAAATGAAACCGGTGCATTTTGAAAATAAATTATGAAAAGGAAAATGAAACAAGTTTCATGAACGTGAAACCGGGTCTTGTTGCAAATAAATTATGTGAACCGAAACATTTTCATGGTGAACCCGTTGCATAGATGGTGTAGTTGAGTCATTTTGTATTTCGCTCGTCGTGAACGAAGTGCATAATGAAACGGGAAAATGATTTTAATCTGCTACATAATCTTGAATATTGTAATATGCTCTAGAATCTTCAAAATTGTAAGGACTAAAGGAATGATTCCATCAAATCGGTGGTGAAATAAGAAAATTACTGTACATAAAATAATTTTCATGAAAGTAAAACTGGTTCATGACAGTATTGAAATAAAATAAAATTTTAATATATATATATATATATTTTTAATTTCCTAAAATAAAATAAACTAATCTTGGCCATTGATCAAGAAAATGGATGAATCACGGTTTACACAAACAGGGCAAGTTTTTATTTGAACGCTCATCTCTCTCTCTCTCTCTCTCTCTCTCTCTATATATATATATATATATATATATATATATATATTGGGGAGCGTTCAAATAAAAACCATT